CGGTAAAGAATTGATTTCACTTAATTTATAAGGTGGTCAAACAAGCCATACTCACAAAATTAGAAAAAAATTATATCAGTATGTCACCATTATCAAATATGTGACCATTATTGACAACATATCCCGTGCCTCGCCGTAGCTGTGTGATCCGCTTGTGCGAAAAGTGTCGCCGTACTTAAACTTGCAAAAACAAACTTTTGCTAAAATTTTTCCAAGCGTGTCGTGTCTCTTAAAGTTGTAGGGCGATAAAAGTCAAACTTGCCCGGAGTCATAGGAATTTGTTAGTAATCATATCAAAATGCTTTAAAAAATCTGTATAATTGGGCTAACGGATAATACGATAGAAAATACGAAGTTCGGAAAAACACGAAAATAAGTGCCAGGAAACTTCTTCCACAACCTAGAGGGCACTCTGACGGTAGCCACACCTAGCTCTGAACAGTACACTCCAGACGTGTACTTTCCTCATGAAAAATTGATAGCTCACTAAAACGTGAGATATACCAACAAATTTTACAGTTTTGTAGGTTTGGGAATGTTTCAAAGTATTTGAGATACGGTCATGTTTAGCTGTTAAGAACAGTATTTTGATCAGTCTGAAGATCAGTTTCTAGGATTTTGAATGTTTTTATGATTTTCAACCTGAAAGTTTGCATCACGTGACATTTTAAATGTTTGTTAATAGTTCCCATATACGAAAGTTAGTCGGCAATAGCGTTTTATTAATGTAAAGCAAGGTGACGTGCAGTTTACCTACGAACTTCCTGAATTTCCATTAAGCAAGGTATATTCCCAACAAACAGCACCGTCGTAAGGGACCCTACTGAGTTATTGCCTAGTGCGTCAAATCGTTCCACATTCGTTGAAGCATTCGTTCTATGCTTTTATCGAGCAAAGAATCACAAATATGACAATAGGAGCTACTGCTAATGCCAGTGGAAATTTTTTACTTTGCTTTATACCTTCCCACTTTCCTGGTTTTGCGCGAGGCAGTTTTGAGAATACTTTGTTACGTGAGCCCACATGTCCAGCTTCTCACAATAGGGTACTTGTAAAAATGTAAACAAAATTTTGCCAGTGTCTGCCACTGATCTGTGAACCAAAATGGTGCGTTGCATCCATCATTGGAGCAAATGTTAGTACAGCTAATACCTCTTCAATCGCTTAAAAAGCTGATTTTTGCAAACCCTCTCTCTCTATTGGATCCCCACATTGATAGTACAGGTGAGAATGCTTGTAAATTAGATGCCTTATCCTCCCATATAAATGTGTTTTAGGTCCTCTCGAAATATAAATGTGTTTTTTTAGGTAAAACCAAACAAGAAAGTGGTAAATCTGGGCAGATAAGCAACTTAAAGGGGAAGCGTGATTACCACAAAGATTCTAAGTTAGAGTCTTGGAGATTGATTATAAAAAACTTACCTTACAAGGTATGTTTTCTCTT